GAGTTCCACCTGCTGACAGCCAGCAGAGTTAACTGTGTGAGAGTATGAGTGTGACCATCAGACCATATTCTTCTCTAGCCATTTACTGGACCTTGGTCCAGTTTCCTAACCACATCTGGAGAATTACAGTGCTAGCACATAGAACTTAATCTTTAAGGGTTCCAGGAGCCTGACAAAGTCCTATGTGAAGAACTTAACTTTGTGACTGTTATACGTGACTGTGAACACCATCAAATGAGTGGGCAGGTTCCTTCATCACTTACTGAGACCATGAAGTGCCCCCAGCATATTCTCGTTCAGTTGACATTAGCTCCCACACCTCGCATTCTATTTCTATGTATTTCTCTTTCTACCTGCAAGCTTATGATTTTGAACGCCATTACTTCCAGCCCAGGTTCCACCCCCACCCCCACCCCCACTTTCTGGTACCTGTCTTGACTTTCAGGCAGACTTTCTGCTCTGGTGTAAACTTCTCAACGTGAGTTGGTGCCCAACTCAGCACCAGGAGTCACGGTGTCACCTGTCTTGCTGCGCCACCATCTACGTTTCCGTTTGTAACAGTTTTCTCTTTCCTTCTGCAGTGACTCATGTTGAGGGCTCTCAGAGGATGTTGAGTGGGATAAAATATTGTGATGTGTCACAATATTCGAAAAGTAGCCAACAACTGAAGCTAAATACTTCTCCGTGGGAGAACCACCTCATTATGTAAGGTGATGTTGTCCCTTTTTAAATATAACACGGGAGTGAAGATCACAGATTTGTTTTTAAGGAAAGCCAAATTACTTAAGCTTGAACCTATCTTTTGCATTCCTTCATTTGAATTGTTTGAACTCTCAATGCCTTCAGCTTATGTCAAATGAAGATAATAGTAGTAGCGCCTACTGCACAATGGAACTGAACCAAGTGAATCATCATCAACAATAGAATCATTCTAACTCCCTAGGCTTTCTGCTTGGTGCTGAGTCCCATTGGGGACAGGAAAGGAATGAAGGCATAAACCATGCCCCTGCCTCATGTGTTTCCATCTGGAGGCCAAACCTGCACAAAGGGCAGGTAGAGGGACTGTTGGGAGAGATTTAAGTCCCGCTTGAGCTAGAGATGCTTAGATGGCTTGGAAGGTTAATGCTCTCCCAGAAAAGGTCCTCAGAGTTCAATCCAAGATGAAATCAAGATTTTTTTTTTAAAGGTGTCATTTCAATTCCTAAGTAAAAACATTTTGGATTGTACAACTTGACTTCATAAGTGTGATGATGATGGTGGTGGTAATAGTGATGATGATGGTGATGGTACATTTAGCTTAGGTTTCCTTGGATACCTAAGTGCAGGCAAACTTGAAAACCAGTTTGTTACTCTTGCGAGTTAAAATGGCTACACTCAAAACTATAGACGAGAACAGATGTTGGCAAGGCTACGGGGAAGCTGGAGCACAGTCTTACATTACTGAAAAGGTAAGATGGTGCAGCGGCTTTGAAAAGCCATTTGGCAGTTGCTCAGAACAACAAACCCAGAGTCTCCTAACGACCTATCAAGTCAATTACTATGTCTCTTTTCAAGGGAAATGAAAACTTATGTGTCCCCAAATGGTCTGCAGATGTTTATAGCAACCTTGTCTATAATAGTGAAAAAGCAGATCCAATCCAAGAGTCCATCAGTGGATGATGGCTGCATAATACTTTAACTATGCTAAAAACTACTGAACAGTAAAATGCAAATCACAAATGAATTTTGTGATTTGTAAATTATACCTTAAGAAAGCTGCTAAAATGTTTGTTCTGTTAACCTTAGGAAAGAAGAATCATGATCTAGGTCTTTATATTTGATTTATAGCCTTCTCCTTTCTTTTCTTCTTTTACTTTTTTTTCAGTCAGGATCTTGATATATACTCTAGGCTGACCTCAAACTCAGAATCCCCCTGCCTCAGCTTCTTCAGCACTGTCTTACAGGTGTGTGCTATAGTGTCCAGCTTTTAAACAACCATTTCTTCCCTTTCTCACCACACAGCCTGTCTTACCAATCGGTGATACTATTGGAGTTTTGTCATGCTTCTGGCTGACCTTGAATCCATTTCCAAGTGTGGGAAATTTTCTTTCATCTAAATGGGATACATACAGCATTGACTTCTGCTATGGGATGAACATGAACCAGTGAATCCCTGTGACCTGTTGATGTGATTGTGTTGAGGAGGTGGGCAGAGATTAAATGAAGGCTAGTGTTCCTGTGAGAGGTTGAGACAGTTTCTGGCTCCTTTTTGCCACCTGAGGATATAGGATAAGGCCTCACCAGGCATGCTGATGTGTATCTGTAATCCCAGCACTTGGACGGTGAAGGCAGGAGAATCTGAACGTCGTGGCCAACCTTTGCTACATAAAAAGTTCAAGGCTAGCTTGGGCTATGTGATAACCTGTCTCAAAAGACAAAACCCAAACAGAAAAGAAGGCCTTTACCACCCACAAAGTGCTAAAGCATTGACCTTGTACTTCACGCTCCAGAGCTATGAGACATTCTGTTGATTATAAACTCCCCAGACTTGGGTATCCTCTTGTTGCCTAAACTGCTTAGAGTGCTTTTTATTTGGAAAATAGAAAACACCAAAAAATTGCTTGCAGCTGTATTGGAAATGCTGATCTCAGTCTAGAAGCAGGTGCTAAGGACAAAGATGTACAGACAGAATTCTAAAGGCAGGTGAGCAGTGGCTGTGGGCAGTGTTTTTCACGAACAACATCTGTGTCCGTAGCAAGACCATAGACATGACACAGGGGCTGGCCCTCTGAGCCCAGCAATGGATCTCATTCTGAGCATGTGCTGGGTTGTGATCAAATGCTGTTTCGGCTCCTACCAGCTCCTTCCTATCTTCTCAATGCGGTTCTTCAACTTCCCGGGTGACTGTGTGAGCCAACTGATATCTTTTCACTCAATCCCCTTCCTTCTGTAAGTTTCTTTTTGCAACTGAGAGTCCTGCTTGATGCAGTTGGTACATCAGGGTGACTGCATCCCAAACAAACGCCAGCTCTTCAGACACTGTAAGCCATATGCTCAGTGATTGCTTTGTGCCATCCATAATCTCATTTATCCTTTAAACAACTTAGGGACTTAGAAGCTGAGGAAATAGCTTTATGGGAATGAAGACTCAAACCCAAGGCAAGCCCTGTGTCCTCCCCATTGGCTGTCTGCGTTTTCTTCTCCATCTTTCTTGCTAGCCCATCTAATTGTCCATTAGTTGCAGAGAGGGAGCCCCAACTCCCTCCTTCCAACTTTCTTATCCTCCTTTAAACTGTATGAGCTTCACTGCCAGGCTTTTTCACAAAAGCTCCACCAGTTTCCCTGTACAGCCACTTCCTGTTGCCTACGTGACCAGACTCCAGAAGGATACCAATGCTGATGTCTAATGCTGATGTCTAATGTCCTCTCTACCTTTGTCTTTTCCTACTTCAAAATGAGTCTACCCTATGCCATAAGGCTATGGCCTGTTTTCTGTTAGACTGGCTGAATTTACTACAGACAGTAGGCTTCCAATAAATATCCCTAATCTGGAGACAGACTGAAGACAAAATATTGAATTCATTCCTCATGTTTCCCTCATAAACTCCAAATTCTATGGCCATGATGATTGGGGGAACAATAAAACAAGCATCAAGCATCATATGGCAAAATATATTGGAATGTGATATTCTTGGCAGGGATTCATCTCAGAGTGGAAAATGTTTGCTAAGTATAAACACCATAAAGACATGCGCGCCATCTAGCCTTTATTATTAGTCACTGGGATTTTTATTTAGCAACTGAAGACTCTGTGAGACTATTCAATTCCAGGAACGAAATTTAGGGTTCTTTTCTGAAACCAATCCAGCCAGGCCTTTGCGTACATGAGCGTTCTTAGAAAGCCTCTGAACATTTTATGCATTTCAACTGGTGGTGCTAGGTCCAAAAATAAAAGTCACTGGGAGCTTGCGCTTGCTTCCTACTTCATTGGCACTGGACATTTTCCAAAGGTCTCCTTTGCCTCACCTATTTCCGGCATGGGTTATTTGATGTCCATGCTTAGGGCCAAGTCAGGAATGGTGTGGAGCAGATGAAGCAAAGATGCTGGGCAGAAGGAGGCCAAGGACTGGACTGTACCTGCCAAAGATACATGTAGAAGGCAAGGGAAATCATGCAAAACAGGTTAGAGGTGACAAGATCACCCACAGTGGGTACCTGAACCTGTGGAGGGGCTAAGCTGTGAGGCCTTGACTGGCTTCTGCCTTGCAATTCTCTTCTTCCTGCAGTAGGATTACTGTGAGCCAAGGAGATCCTGACCAGGGGGAGGAAATATTCCATCCCAGGGTGTTACAACATATCTGTTTTGCTGTGTCTGGTCCTAACTTTCAGCACTGAATATGATTCTCGGGGACAGTATCTTGTCAAATCTTGTGTGAAACTCAGCTCTGTGCTTACACGTGCTTCACCTCTTATGGTTTCCTACTGCCTTCCATGCGACCTTCACAACAGTGCCACCACTTCATTCTAGCTGCTTTGACCTTTGAGCCCACCGAGTGACTGGATCATCATCTACTTGAGTGCCAGAGCTACTGCCTATGGCTAAGGCATGTCTTTCCATCAGTATCATCCATTTCTGCCTATTATCAAGTGGAGCCTGTGTCTTTCAAGGACCATCGGACACATCCGTGGGCAAAGGTGTGAACAGAAGGAATGAGCCAAAAAACCTAAAATGATGGGTTATGAAGTTATGGAAGGTAGCAAGGAGACAGGGCCTCTGTTATCTCCTAGTTGTCTTTGTGCCAAAGAGAAAAACACATCTCCCTTGGACGGAACAGTTAAAAGGTATTCTCTCTGCACAGTGTACTGGTCTGAGTGGTGGCCCTCTAAAAGATGCATGCTTGTCCTCACAGTCAGTACCTGTGACCTTACTTGGATCTTTGTAGCTGCGATTAAGGCTCTTAAAATGAGCTCAGTCTAGATTGCCCTAATTCAATGACAGCCATCCTTATAAGAAGAGGAGAACTGCCCCTAGAAGCATTGCAGGTGTGGCTGCTGTGTCACATGTGTGTCAGTAGATGGCAGAGAGAACAGAAGCTGTTTCTATGCTTAGCGTTCTGACCTATGAACGTCGGAATGATAAGTAGCCTAACATTCCCTGAAAGAAGCAAGCCTGACATGACCACCAGTCCAGTACCAGGGGGCAGACAGGGAGCTAGCCTGAGACAATCAACAGTCTGGCACTGCACAGGCCCCAATGGCTCCCAGGACCTGGAGCAAGCTGGAGACTAGAAGAACCCTGTCTAGGACTGAGGGCCCTGGGCAGGAGTGAGCCTGAGGCATGGCAGGCCTGTCGAGGAGGAAGCCTGAGATGATCACCAAAGCCTGTGATGACGACCACCAGTCGGGTACCACAAAGGCCGGGGGTGGGAGTGCAGGCCATGTCTGAGATAACCCCTGCCCAGCACCGTAATGCCTGAGTGGGGCATCGCCCTCCTGAGACCACTCCTGAGATGACCCCAGAAACTCAGAAATCCCAGGCTAGTGAAATACCACTCACTGAGAGGAGCAAGTGAGTGGTAGAGAATAGAAGAGAAAGAAACAGAAGGATGTGGGCACAGTGAAGAGAGGCAGAACTGGAGACTTGAGGGTAGTGAAGAACAGCCTGATATGAGTGGCTGGTGATGCCACCTGGGACCACGGTGGGGTCCTGGGCTATGCTGCCATGGGGGCCACATCCAGGTCTGTGGTTCTGCAGCAGCAGGGGTCTGTTACCACCGAAGGCCAGGAGGATGTCCCTGGTCCGGGCTGCAGCTCTGGGACCTGTTGCTGTCTGAGGATTATGTAAAACTGGCCCCACCCCTCATCTGGGTTTCCTGGGAGAACTGGCCCTGGGGGCATGACCCTGCAGTACTAGCTGTAGTACTGAAGAGGACAGCCTGCACAATGATAGAGCTGTGGGTGAGCAAGCCCCCAAGGATGTAGGAGTAGGACACCTGTGGGGAGAGATACCCTCCTACCCCTCACCCATTATCACCTGTTGCAGGTGAGAGAGCAGGAGTGCTCGCCTCGCCTGCTGCAGCACTCAGGCAAGCAAGCCTTGCACCTTGCTTGGGCAGCACGGTAGAGCTGGCTGTGGCTGTGGGGGCTGCAGGTGAGGCAGCGCTGAGGGGATGGGTGTGGTACAGCCATCTGGGCTGTGGAGGAGGTTCTCCCCTCATTCAGCTCTTGCCATCTATGGCAGGCAGGAGAGCTGGCCCCAGGGTCATGGGAGTGAGAGAACTGGCCATGTCCCTTACCAGCTGCAAAACACCACACCTGGGCCCGACACCATGCCTGGGTAGAGTTGGCCCTGGTAGTGGGGGTTGCTGGTGAGTAGGCTCTAAGCGAGTGAGAGTGGGAGAGCTGGTGGGCCGACCAGCTCAGATACCTCTCAGGCCCAGATCCAGGGCTTTGAATTGGCGTACCCCAACATCTACTTCATCTATGAACTGCTGGAGTTCATGAAGAGGCCAGTCCTACAGATCCAAAACTACAGGATCTCCATGGCACAAGGAAACAACAGTATAGCCAAGAAGAGTCCCAGTGAGGTTCCAGTACTGATAGAGTAGAAGAAGCCAGAGGCCTCAAATGAGACTAATAAGTTACTGCAATGAATACAAACAAAGAAGTGTGGATTAAAGGGTATACACTAACACACTATAACTCCCACAACGAGATTTTTTTTTTCTCTGTTGGGGGAGAGGTTGCAAGGGTAGAGGGTAGGTATGAGGGGGTGGGGAGATGAGTGGAATTGAGGGGGTGGAACAGAGATTGGAATGCCAAGGGACACCACACATTTCTTTAGCTCTCAGAAGCAAGGAGCAAGGCTTCCGCAGGTTTCCTCAGAACCTCTGAAGGAAGCAGCCTTGTTGAGCTTGAAGTTTTGAAGGTGAAACCCTCAGAACTGACAGGGTGGGTGTCTTGTTGCCTTAAATTAGCTTTCAGTGACTGGGTGCAAGAGATCTAGGAGACTAACTCATAGCCAGTAAGTAGACACAACTTCCTGGTAGTATGTCTTTTGGCTTTGAGCTTCTTCCTGCCTCACAGGCTGGTTTCCCCATCACTCATAAGGGCTTTGATGGAGACCAAAGAACCAGAGCATGAATCCATACAAAGATTAGAGAGCATGAGGATGTAATAATACAAAAATGGATTTTGGAGACAGACAAAGGCTGAGATTCAGCAGAACTAAGTATTTTCTAATTTGAAAGATGGGAGGAAGGAAGGAAATGACACTTATTAATCAATCTGATGAGAATTATTGTCCCGTTAACGTTGGTGGCTAGCCGACAGCCTTGCATGACAGTGTACAATATTTCATGTCCCATTTGTCTTCCTTGAATATCTATTGTCTTTCTTCTTCTCCTCACCCTGGGTAACCAGGATGAGCATTGTAAAAAGAAAGAAAGCTGCTTGGATCCACACTGAACACCCACTTGAGGGCGAGAATGTTTGGTGCCTCTTGGAACTGCAGTCGGTAGTATCTGCACTGTTTTATTGGGCCTTGCTCGAGAGCGAAGTCCATACTTCCTTGGAAAGAGAGGCAACAGCTAAGCATACTCTTTGTAACCCCCACTTTCCTATACTGGTTATATGTCTGCTGATGATGAAAAGCAGCTTTGGAGAAGAAAGGTTCGTTTTGACTTATAGTTCCTGGGGGAATTGAATCTACCATGGTGGAGACGTCATGCAAGCGGAAAGATGATGCTGGCCTGACAGTCTAGAAGAATACTTGTTGAATTTCATCCACACACAGGAAGGAGAGAGAGAGAGAGAGAGAGAGAGAGAGAGAGAGAGAGAGAAATAACAAGCAGGGTGAGGCTCTACAACCTCAGCAAGGCTCCACACCCTAAAGGCTCAAAAAGCATCTCAGGCAGCACCACCAGCTGGACCAAGTGTTCTAATATATGAGCCTGTGGATAACACATCTCATTCAAACACCTTCCTAATGTGGCTACAGTTTGAAATCCTCTTTGCCTCTTGGCTTTGTACATAGATTTGCATGTACAAATCTGGTTTAAGACAATATAATGAGGAATACAAGTACCCATTTTAGCTTGGGAATGTTTGGTCTGTCATGCCAGCCTCAGTAGGAACTCAAGCAGGGAAAAAGGGTCCTTTACTCTGGACGCTCATATTTGAGTGGTGTTGTCTTTGGCAGACAAAGTGAATGAATTTATCTTCATTAAAAAAAAAAAAAAGCAAGGTGTGTGAGGGCGTTAGTGGTGGCCACCTTGGGTTAAAGAGAACTGAATCCACATTGATCCAAACAGCATGTGATTGGCCACTGTGGCTTGAGGGCATCTCTGTGTTCTGAACCTGAAATTTCATAGTGTTTTGAAATGATATTAATCTGTACTTGTAAACTGTTGACTTGATCATATTTTGGTGCTGTGTGACACATATTTGATGGATAACATAAAGTCTGTTTTTCCAAGTTTACTCCAGTGTAATGCTGGGGCCATAGTTTGCATCTCTAAATGAGAGGTTGGGGGCTGGGGGGGTGTCTAGAGAAGAAAGGTCATCTCTTGTACTCTCATGAAAGCTGCTTTCTTAAAGCTTATGCTTCATCGTAGAACCAAGAGATGCCGAGGAGAGAGCAGTGGCTTTTACAGAGGATTCTGAGGATTCAGCAGGACTCTTAGGGAGATGGTGGGAGGATTCAAGTGGCTTGGCCTTTCAGAGTAGCAGAGAGTGAAATTGTGGCTTTCGAGGTTTCTCTTTATGTTTCTTTATGTGATTATTAATGAGTTATGCAGTTTATGTAATTGTTAATGAAGACTTGCTCCAGATGAGTGGCGATTTACAGAATTACCCCTATGTCACGTGCCTGTTCTGGGTGCCTGCTTGGATGTGCATGCGCGTATGTAAGCTGGCTTTAGGGAGTGGAGAGGTGGCTCAGCAGTGAAGAGCGCTGGCTGCAACTCCAGAGGACCTGGTTTTATTTCCAGCACCACATGGATCACAGCTCCAGGGGATCAGACATGATCTTCTTGCCTCTGCAGGCGCTAGGCATGCATGTGGTGCACAGACACACACACAGGCAAAAATATCTGTACACATTAAAGCACTGAAAAGAAAATGCAGGCTTTAAAGGGCTGAGTTGTGCTCTTTGAATAGGCACACGTGCTTTAAAAGCATGAACTTGATGCCAATGAAGCATCAAGTTCTCAATAATTTGAGTCTTTTCTACTTTGGTGTCTCCTTTCTGTATTACCAGGACTTCTCCTGCCGAAGTCCATTGCTTAAGGGTTGGTTAAGCGAAGATGCTGAAGTACTTGGTAAAGCATTATCCTCGTGCTACCCTGCAGTCAGTGGTTATAGCTATTGACAAAGGAGGAGAATAATTTCAGAGTCTTTTGCTGATCCTCAAATCACAGTTCAACATATTTCTTAGCTGGAAGGCTGTTTTATCCCAATCCAAGGTGGTGTGGACAGACTTATGGAATGAATTTTCCTGGTCTCCAGAAGCTTGTCAGCGGTCCAGTGACATGTTTTTTCAAATAATTCAACTAGTCAGGTCCATCTGGAAATCATTGTTTTGATGCTTCCTGTCTGTCTTTCATGTGAACCCCCCTCTTTCAAAGGCTACAGAAAGACTGGGGTGTCCCAAAGTAGTATTTAATACCCCGCTGACATTCAAACAAGTCAGGGGCTTCTCTGGACACTTATGTATTAACACAGGGTGCTTCAGAGGCCTGGAGTCATGGAATGTTGGGCTCAGAATGTCTTGTGGGCCCCGCACCCACCTCCCAGTTGGGGAGATAGCCTCTGTGGATTCCAGTCTAGGTGGTCTCCAGCCTTGGTCTCTGCATCCTGAGGGGAAAAGAAACTTCCTGTTTCCTAAGGCAGCCTGCTCCCAAGGACAGTTCTGTTGAGCTGAAATACACTTAATGTAATCTTTGATCTTAGTTCTGCTTCCTAAAGCAAAGAAGAATAAATGTTTCTCTGATAGGCTGCCCGGTTTAGACAAGTGAATAGAGATACTGGATTTGATTCTACTTAAGTAGCCAGGCAATTCAGAGACTTTCTCAACCTAAGGTCTCTACCACCTCCATTGTAGTGTGGACCAAATAATGTATTTTAGCCATCCATCATGGTGCTTGGCACATGG